GAAGGAAGGAAGGAAGGAAGGAAGGAAGGAAGGAAGGAAGGAAGGAAGGAAGGAAGGAAGATTTAATATTTATAAATACATACAGCTGACACTGAGGAAGACACTGGTTTCGGATTAAGTAACAGTGTAATATGCATCAGAACGTCAATCAATCATCTCTCATAAAGCAAGTAACATTTTACTGATGAAAATTTTTTCTATTTTAAAAGAGAAATCAGTAAGCAAATTAGGTAAAAACAAAAGATTTCTCCAGGTTATTACAACTTGGTACTGTTTAAATATATAGCCTTCAAAGTACCTTAGGAAATGAAGAAAGACACTAAGGAAATGTTTTAGACCAAAGTCAATCTGCAGTGGAATTGGATGCTGGCTAGTAAAGAACAAGAAGAAGGCAGCAGGCGTAAGTGACATGGAAATGAAGGCTCTGAATCTCCAGACAGTGCTAGAAGAGTCTGTAATCCCCCCTACACGGGAATTTGCTTAGCCAATCTTCTCTTCCACGGAAACAGCTCACTGCAAACCCAATTTACCAAGCTACCACTTAGTGGGATTCAAATTAATCCATCTATTTAACATTCAATTTGCACCAACCCCGTAACACACGCCATGCTGAACACTTGGGTGGCTGCCCTCAAAGAGTCACTGGTCTACAGAGATGAAGACACACCCGTAGCAGGCTATGAAAGCACTAAATTCAAGAGGCATCTCAACTAATTCAGAAAAAATTCGAGATGGAGAGCTCTCCAGGCAGGTGGCTAGCTTGCTTGTGTAGAGCATAAGCACGTAAACTGTAAGTAACGTGACATGCTCTAAGAAAGTGGTCATGAACAGAAGGCAGCAAAGATGGGACCCTTAGATTACCTGACTTCACATCAACCTAAAATTAATTTTCAACCACAGCGAATTCAGTTTACCTCTCAGATGATAAACTTTGGGTAAAAACTGGATTCAAAATCTAGCCCAAAATAAGACAAACCCTCTGAGGAACTGAGACATTTTCTCAAAAGAGTTCTTGGAAAACTATGGCCAAGAAACCTCAAAAGCCAACAGGTACACTAACTCCACAGATTTTAACCAGTACATTAAATAATCCAGATAGAAGCAGAAGATAAGGGGAAAAACAGAGTTAAAGTGGCACAAGTCCTTTTCTTCTGACCTATAACAAGTCTGTTTCCTTACGTCACCACTGGACCCGGCACTGAGAGCAGTCAATGTCTCTCACCTTAGAGCGGAAACAAGAGCTAAGCCCTTTTAGCTCACCTGAGGGAGAGTAGGGGAAAAGGACACTCAAACCCTCTGCCCCACCACTGTTTCGTGACACACTTCGTAGAAAGAACAAACTACATATAAAAGAGTGAATAATTAGCTTCGCAAGGGCATCTGAGCAACTGACCACGCCCCAAAATGTGAGGCAACTGTAAGAAATTTTTTTTAACTTTAACTTCAGATTCTCAATCAGTTAACAAAAGCATGTGACAAAACGCACCGTGTCACACACAAAGGTAGTGGATTTCCTGAAAATGAGATCCCATCCAGCAACTGAGGGAAACGGGGACTGGAGTCCTGAAAAGCCACACGCAGAACCTACATCCGGCCTCCAGGGGTAGGTGTCGTCCTACATGTGAAAGTGAAGCGTCTCTCTCCCCCTGATCCATTCAACTCCATGGTGCCCACATTTTCAGAAACTAAGTAGGCAATGGTACAGCCATTAAAACAGGCATCCCTTTTGATCCATTAATCACACTACCGGGAAATTTAGCTACCTTTACAAAATAACCCAAATCTGCATAAAGATGCTCATTAGAGATTTATTGGACGACTGGAACTCTGAAAACAGCCTCAAGTCCAACTACTGGCAATAACTCTGTGAAAATGTTGTAGCAACAGAAGACAAGACAGATGGTTAAGAGTGTTGTCAAAAAATAGCATGAGGGGCGCCTGGGTGGCTCAGTTGATTATGCGCCTGAGTTTGGCTCAGGTCTTGATCTCACAGGGCTCATGGATTCGAGCCCCACGTCAGGCTCTGTGCGGACAGTGCAGAGCCTGCAGCCTGCTTCAGATTCTGTGTCTCCCTCTCTCTCTGCCCCTCCCCCGTTCACACGCGGTCTGTCTCTCAAAAATAAACATTAAAAAAAGTTGTTTTTTAATTTTTTTTTTAAACGTTTACTTATTTTTGAGACAGAGAGAGAGCATGAACGGGGGAGGATCAGAGAGAGGGAGACACAGAATCTGAAACAGGCCCCAGGCTCTGAGCTGTCAGCACAGAGCCCGACGCAGGGCTCAAACTCACGGAGCGCGAGATCATGACCTGAGCCGAAGTCAGCCACTTAACCGACTGAGCCACCCAGGCGCCCCTAAAAAAAGTTTTTTAAACTAGCATGAATAAAGCTTAGCAAAAACATATAAACACTGGGGAAGAATTCATTTACATAGGACAAATAAATGTCAAGTGAAATTTCAGTAAGTTTTGAAAACTTGTAAAAGGAAAGATTTTGATCAGAGTGGAACAGAAGACAGTGAACTGATCATAAACCGGGAAAACCCCATGTGTTACCTGGCACTAGCACAGGAGCCCGTGGTCTTTTGGCGTGTGCTCCGCCTCAAACTGGGGAGCTCAGCAGGTGGGGATTCACTGCGCTTCTTGGTAGATTTTCTTAAACCTATACGTGTGAAATGCAAGATCAGTTTTTGTTTTTAAAAGTTATCGTAAATTAAAAAGTACAAAACTCTTCAGGTCAGGAGACCGCAGCATCTTCCGTGGCCTTTGTAGCACTCTACCAGGGTCCCTTCCCAGTTGGCCTTTACTTACCTGACTCATACTGGCAAAGCTAATATGGGACACGCCGCACTCCTGGTCAGGATAGAACCTTCTCACGTAAGCCCAACCTTGACTCAAGCTATGCCACCCCACAAGTGACAGTACTTCTTCTCTCATCCTATCCCCTTAAATGTTCTGATCACAGCTGTACTGCTCCGCTAACTAAGCCAAGAGATTTTCTTTTTCGCATTTACTACGTATTTCAGGTTTTTACTAAATTGAAAAAATTGCCTAAATTTCATTCTCATTCATTAGCACTTTATTACATGGCCTTTAAACTGTCCCATTTCACCTAGTTTATACAAAGTCCGTCAATTAAGACTACGAGAGCACAAAATGCTTTCTTTGCTTTACACCACCCCATCAACAAGGAATATACACTGGAGCTGAAGGCTATTAGGATGTCCAATATACAGATAACTGGATAATTCGGGGTCAAAAGTAAATCAAGCACACTTCACATGTCATTCTAGAAGCTAACGGATACCCTTTATAGGGTTAACAGAACCTAAAAAGGTACAGCATTAGGTAAAGGTAAAGTTTATTACTATTTTATAAACAACGGTGAAGCAGTCAGAGTGCTGTTCGCCCTCCCCCCCCCGCCCCCCCCCCAACAACGTTATCATCCATGATGACGCGCTGGGCAGTGTGCTGGACCTAAACAAAGATCTCCAACAGTGAAAGGTCTCCAAAGTCAAAAAGCCTATTTCCAGGAGAAGTACAGCATCATCTGACAGAGCCCTTACCTTTATCTGAGACTAATTACATAGTAATAACAACTCTCTAGCTCACTTGTTATTTCCCCCAGGAAGTTCTAATGTTTTGGACCATTTCACTGCTTCACAGTGGAAAGATCAGAAATTCCTTACTCCCGACTGGGATAAAAACACCAGTAATGGCCTGGATAAGAGGTGGTAAATAAAAAAAAAAAAAAAAAAATTTCAAAAAAATTTTTTGGGCTTCTAGCTGCTTAATTTAAAACTTCAGTTCAGGGGCGCCTGGGTGGCGCAGTCGGTTAAGCGTCCGACTTCAGCCAGGTCACGATCTCGCGGTCCGTGAGTTCGAGCCCCGCGTCGGGCTCTGGGCTGATGGCTCAGAGCCTGGAGCCTGTTTCCGATTCTGTGTCTCCCTCTCTCTCTGCCCCTCCCCCGTTCATGCTCTGTCTCTCTCTGTCCCAAAAATAAAAAAAAATAAACGTTGAAAAAAAAAATTAAAAAAAAAAAAAAAAAGTAAAACTTCAGTTCATTTAACTTGGGATGGTCCCCATACCACGTATAATAAAAGTTGCTAAGTAAAAACAGCACACTACTAAAGAATCTTTAAATACCAAACAGAAGTTATAAAGACAAAAATCGATGTTTAGACAGGCATTATTACCATTTAGAAATCTAAACCAAACCTTCCACGCCCTTTTTTGTCTCCCCCAGAGTAACTTTTGGGAAACTTTATGCAGACTCCTCAAACTAGCATAAAAGGACCAAGCTGAAACTTTAATTGGGGAAAGACTGGCCTAAGAGTTTCTTAAATTTCAATTTAATTTATTTTAATTTTAATTTTAATTCAATTAAATTTCAAAAAATCAGTTTTTAGACTGATTTTCTACACAGCATATCACCACAGTTCCTCGGTGCGATCACCAATCTATGCCTGATACCCTACACTAGCTTTCCTCTGCCTGGACATACACCCCGTCATCTGCAAGACGAACATGACACGTGGACAGATTACAGGACTAGCTTCATGTATTCAGCTAATTACTATCACTCTTTTTTAAATCTGTAAACAACTCAAATTGTTTTTAAATAATGTTTTAGAAAATATTCCACTCATCTATTTGAATTGTGCAACTAAGTTAGAATAGACTAAAAATGTACAATTTACAGAAAAAATGAGTGCACATTGCGTATGAACACTCCACAGTGTTTTTACCTTTAAGGCACTTTAAAATCCCTTGTTATTATCACTAATATTACTTAATATGATACTAAATGTCTTTATACATATACCGTGATACAGCAATGGACATTAGCAAACATTTTTGTATCTATTCAGTGACATCCCCCCAAAAATTCAAATAACACACCGTGGGTTACTCCTATATCGCTAATGAGGTGACAGTATAGTTTTTGACCAAACTTTTACACTTTCACTACCCAAGTCCTATTTTAGACTTCAGTGTTTAACTTTCTTTTAAATAATTTCACGCATATGTCATTTTCTTATGATAAAATGTACTCACTTTAAATTACGGGGTTCAATATGGAGTTTAACAAACGTACCGACCCATATAACCAACACGACAATCAAGACAGGACATCTCCATCGCTCCAAAAAGTCCCTTCATGCTCCTTGCTGCTAATTCCCTCCCCCACATTTCAGACCTCTGGACACCACTCGTGTGCCTGTCTGACATTACCGCCTCTTCTAGAATTTCATAAAAATGGGAGTCCTATAGTATTTTGGAGATGAATTCACATTGCTGCACAGATTAGTAGTCCATTCCTTTCTATTGTGGAGAAGTATCCCTTCGTATGGATGTGCCACAATCTTCATCCATTCTGGGTGTTAAAATTTAAGAGAAACGTACTAAACTGCAGAAAAGTAGGACAAAGGAGAACCACAACAACAGAGTAGATAGATATTTTTAACTGGTATTATAATCCTGCTGCAAAGTAAAATGGCTGTCAGGCTACGTGACATGACTCCATTTAGCCTGATAAACTAGGAGAACCCCAAACGTTCTGTTTTCTGAAAGGCAATCCAATGGTAAAGGAGCTGCTACACGTAACGCTTTGGTGGAAGAGAGGTCTCTATCTGTAACATTACCTGAACCCAGGATGGGAGACAAAACTAGCGGTTGTATGTATCTCTGCTCCAAAATCTGGAACAGGGGAACACCTCACAATTGGCAAAGAGTGATAATTAATAACTTTTCAGTATTTCTAGGCAAATCAAGTCAAATGTTGGAAGAACTCTACAAATTCTCCCTCCCAAATCTAAAACATGTTAAGATTAGAAATGTCAAACTTTTGGGGAAAAAGGAAAGCTGAAGTAGTGTGGCAAACCAAGCTCTGCCTAGAAATGGGGAGAGCTTAACTTTCTTTTGGCCATTCAGCTGTCAGTTCTAGAACATTTTTTTTTTTTTTTAATGAAGTATACCATCAAGCCTCTTCGTTTTTAATGTTTATTTTTGAGAGACAGACAGAGAAGGGGTGGGGGGAGGGACAGAAAATCCAAAGCAAGCTCTGCTGCTGACAGCAGTGAGCCCAATGGGAGGCTTGAACTCACAGACCACGAGATCACGACTGAGCCAAAGTCGGGATGCTTAACCGACTAAGCCACACCCAGGTGCCCTAGAACATACTGTCTTCACAATATTAGACTGGCTTTAGTTTTCAAAAGCACTTTCAGATATCAAGTTATGATTATTCTTACTTTTCAGACACAAAAATATTAACTGACTTGCTTAAAGTTGCGTAACCCAGCCAACTACACAATTCCTAAGCTTATTTTGAAGCAAAACAGAGGCTACTACATCTTTACTATACTTCTGGAAAAGCATTAAAATTACAACTCTACCTCCACAATAGTGATTTGTTCAAGGCCCAAGGAAATGAGGGGCTTTCTTACAAGTGAAATTCATTAATGACTGGATAGTAATCTTGGGGAAGGTAGGGTGAGGGAGCCGTAACACAGGCTGGGGACCGACAGGGTCATCTTTATTTGAGCTCCTGGATCCAGCCAAGCCTGAAGCAAACCAATCTCCTGACTTTACCAGTCATGTGAACTGACTGGTGTATATATGTATGTATGCCACATATCATATAATATATGTCATAGAATATATTTACCTTATATAACACAGAATTATATTAAAATTATAAAAAGGCAGGTGTTGACAAATTGCAGCCTATGGGCCAAATCCATCTGGCAGCCTGTTTTTGTGCATCCCACTAGCTAGGAATGGTTTTTTACATTTTTAGTAAGTTGTTAAAAAGAAGAAGATGTGACAAAAAACTTATGTGGCCAGTAAAACCTAAAATATTTACTTTATGGGACTTTACAGAAAATATATACTGACCTGGACTTTGAAGAGAAAAAGGAAGAACAGTATATGGACTCATCTAAACTTCAAAAATCAGTTAAATATTTAAAAAATAAGAACTTGTCCCCCACCCAAAAGAAATAGAAACAAAAACCTCTTGTGTTTTAAAAAGAAAAACAAGGGGCGCCTGGGTGACTCAGTTGGTGTCCAACTTTGGCTCAGGTCATGATCTCACAGTTCATGAGTGCAAGCCCTACGTCAGGCTCTGTGCTGACAGCTCAGAGCCTGGAGCCTGCTTCCGGATACTGTGTCTCCCCCTCTCTCTGCCCCTCCCCAGCTCGCACTCTCTCTCAAAAATAAACATTAAAAAAAATTTAAAAATAAAGAAAAGAGGGGCGCCTGGGTGGCGCAGTCGGTTGAGCGTCCGACTTCAGCCAGGTCACGATCTCACGGTCCGTGAGTTCAAGCCCCGCGTCGGGCTCTGGGCTGATGGCTCAGAGCCTGGAGCCTATTTCCGATTCTGTGTCTCCCTCTCTCTCTCTGCCCCTCCCCTGTTCATGCTCTGTCTCTCTCTGTCCCAAAAATAAATAAACGTTGAAAAAAAAAAATTTTTTTTTAAATAAAGAAAAGAAAAATAAGACTAGAAAAATAAGCTAAGCAGTATTAGCTTCAGTCCTAATTTTTCTAGATTATTAGTTATTTTGATTTTTTTACTTCTAAGTTTTGCAATATTCCCACAGATAACAAATACATCTCCATTTTAAAATGGAGTAGACAAACCAATGAATAAGGTACAC